ATTTTGGCAATAATTTAGAATGAGTGGATGAGACTCGAAAAGTTCTAAGTATTCATGTGCATAATTTTGATTAACATTATTGGCATAAGCATAAAAAGGTCCGCATTGGATAGACCATCCGTAATGCGTCAAAAACATAGGATTTTTGCACGTAGGAAATTTGGGAAATATCTTTCACAACTAGAATTAATTTGAAATAACACTACAAAGTACTGGAAAAATCTAAGAACAGAAAGCTGCTGAGGCATGTAGGAACTGGCGTTGAGAAAACAGTGTCCGTCGCAGTGTGATGGCTCTGTCGATGTGCAACAGCAATGTCGCGTGGAGACAAGGTCATCATCTCGCGACGGTCCATGTTGTCTCGTGCTAAGTTCTTCCAATACCGAGCTAGAAATCTAACTTCTTGCTTTGACCAATTCTAGTACTGTTTGCTCGGTTCTACTTTCTGATTGAGTTTTTCTCACTTTTCTAAACCCATATGTGTTCTACATATGACCTTAACCCTCTGTGAATTCACGCTCCATCTACCTAATCAAACGCTCATGGCTACGAAGGGTACATTTAATTTTGTGAATTCACCAAACCGTGGAAGCAAGTTTAACTTGCGAGGTCCCATCCATACACGCCAACCATTCCAAAGGTAAGGCTTCTGCGCGATGCATCCGGACTCATAACCCGGAACCTTTTTTACTAACCCTTATCCTTGAACTTTAGAGAACTAGAACCATGGTTGTTTTGGGTGTTTTTGTCCCTCGGGAGAGTTACGTCACAAAGATTGGTCCGGCCGAGTTGTACCTGCAAAACAACGGAGACTTCGGGTGGTTGGAGCTTTGCCTCCGAAGATCAAGTTAGTAACTTGAAAGGGAATAAAGAGTACGGAAATTTAGGTGGGGATCTTCTTAGATTCCAAGCTTAGGTGTTTCTCTGATGAGAGAGAATGTAGGTGTAATAAATGATTGAACGTGTCCCCAAAATGGGGAAATATTTCCCTATTTATAGGGTCGTTGGAGAATGTGCCCCTATCTAGGTCACTTGACCTAGATTTTAGTGGGCTGCGCCGTTTTACGGCGCTCCTAGGGATTTGGGCCCTTGAAGGCCGCCATTTCAGAGGCTTATCTAAGGGGGCCACATATCAAGAGGATATTGGGCCACTTGGGCCATCTTGAGCTCACCACGTGGCTTCCTCTCATTGGTCCACTTGTCTAGGGTATTTTTACCCTAAACATTTGCCCCTCACAGGGGTCACGTGCATGTCACGTGGGGCTTGTGACACGTGTCCACCTATCAGAGGTGAACAGTAACAACAAATAGTAAAATTTAAATTTCAAACGCCCCGTTTTCACCTTCTATAAATAGATGTTTACCTCCCCCTTTTTCTCTCACTTCATTTTCATTTGACTTTCTAGAGAAAGAAAGAGAGATTTTTTAGAGAGAGATTCCCTGCCTCCGTCTGCGTCAAAGTTTTTCAGATTTCCGCGTGCTAACGTTGCAACACCCGGTTCACCGTCTGTAGCTGTTTTCAGATTTATCAGAGCTAAAGTAAGGTAACCGCCTGTACCATCTTTACCTTTTCTCTTTTTCAACTTGTATACATTCTTTCTCCGCCTGTATACATAGTTTAGAAATAAAAATGAGTTCTCAATCCACACACTCGGCACTGCCTAGGACACTCAGCCGGTCCCTCGGAACGGCTGAGTCTAGAACAGGGGGTGCCTTTTCTGGACTGTCAGAATCGATGTGCTCATCTCCAAATTCCTCCCTCTCTATGTCTGTGCAGGACACAATGGCCAGAATGAAACAGACGACCAGAAGGTCTAGGAGCCGGGGCACTATGTTAGTGCCAGCCGATGAGGTTGTTCCGGATGGGGAACATGAGGATTTGGAGGAGAGCGATTCTGATGAAGAGGCTCCCTCTACTTTCGGGAGCTCAGACGTATGGGAGGAAGGCGGTGAGGAAGCCGCCTCCTCTAATGGATCCGGCGATGATGAGGCCGGTGAAGGGTCAAGGGCCAAATCTTCTGGCTCTGACCAGTATAACTTTGCGGCTGACTATCAGCAGCCGCCTAAAGTCGCTGACAACCCTAACCCTAAAAGGATAAGAATGCTGTCGGGTGACATAGCCCTGTTAAAGAGCGGCTTTAGGGCTTTCAAAGAGAATCACCCCTTTGGAAAAGGGTGGGATATTATCGTCCCGCCTGCTGACGCAGTAATGGCATGGGACGACGACATTGATAATGCAGACCATTACTTTGTCTGCTACGAGGCGGTCATAGAAGCCGGCCTCCGGTTCCCCCTCCATACCGGGATTAGGAAAATCCTGAAGGGGTATGATCTGGGAGTTTGGCAGCTCACCCCCAACTCATGGGTGAACATTTTGAGTTACATCGCCTCCTGCGAGCTCCAGAACATAGCTCCAAGCTTCTCCGCCTTCGCTCATATGCATTACTTGAGCAAGGCACCAGGTGGTCATGGGGCATGGTACACTCTTTCCACCTTGCCCCAGTATTTGATGAGTTTGGACAAGGTGTCCAAATGGTCCGGGTGGAAAGATAAGTTTTATTTGATTTCTTCTCCAACTCTAAGACACAACCGGACACTGCGCTGGTACAACAGGGAACCAACTCTTCTGTGCAGCAAATGCCCTCTCATGGAGCTATCTACTAAGGCTCGTGAGAAAATAATGGAGCCGGGTTTCTTTGAAACCACTACGGAGCCCGTGGGGGATGAGACTCATATTATAGTTCCAAAAAACTGGATCCCCCACCCGGACTACTTAATACTCCAACGCCATATCCCTTTTGGTTTGAGGCTCCGTCGAAGTATAAGGTCCAAGTATCATCTTCAGTAACCATTAAGTCTTCATCTGAAAATTTGTTGTCATGTATTGGCTTCGAGTCTTCTATTGGGAAGTCTGCTAGAAAGTCTGACACCACGGATCCTTTGATAGCTTTTTGTGGCATGAACCTTACATCAAACTGGGCTAGATTGACTATCCATCTCGATATGCGTCCATTGAGTGTAGATTCCTCAAATAGATACTTTAGTGATCTAATCGGGAGACTACGAAGACGGTATGCACTAACATATAATGTCTTAACTTGGTTGTGGCCCACACCAAGGCGAGGCACAACTTCTCGAGTGGCGTATAGCGTGCTTCATATTCGAGCATCTTCTTGCTTAGGTAGTAGATTGCATTCTCTTTGCCTTCTACTTCTTGTGCTAGCATAGCTCCCATTGTCTCGTTGGTAACTGTCAAATATAACCTAAGAGGTATTCTGGGAAGTGCTGGTGCTAATACGGGAGGATTTGCGAGATAGGCTTTGATCTTTTCAAAGGCTTTTTGACACTCGTCATCCCATATTACTGGTACATTCTTCTTGAGCTTTTTTAAGATTGGTTCACATATTGTCGTCAATTTTGATATTAACCTACTTATGTATTACAACCGGCCAATAAATCCTCGAATCTGTTTCTCAGTCTTGGGCGGTGGCATTGACATGATTGCTTTGATCTTGGTTGGGTCTACCTCTATTCCTCTAGAGCTTATGACATATCCCAAAAGCTTGCCTGAGGTGACTGCAAAATCACACTTAGCTGGATTCAACCTCATATTATATTTTCTTAACCTTTCGAAAAAATTCCTTAAAGCTAATTGATGGCCTGGACGGTCTTTTGATTTTACAATCATGTCGTCGACATATACTTCGACTTTTTTATGCATCATGTCATGGAGTAAGGCAGTTGTTGCACGTTGGTAAGTAGCACCCGCGTTTTTCAACCCGAATGGCATCACCGTGTAGCAGTAAGTGCCCCATGGTGTTATAAAAGTTGTTTTCTCCATGTCTTCTTCTGCCATGAGAATCTGGTTGTAACCTGCGTACCCATCCATGAATGAGAGGAGCGCGTGATTTGCCGTGTTATCTACTAAAATATCGATGTGTGGAAAAGGGAAGTCGTCCTTTGGACTTGCTTTATTTAGATCTCGATAGTCGACACACATTCTTACCCTTCCATCTTTCTTCGGATCTGGGACGGCGTTGGCGAACCATTCGGGGTATTTGGATACCTTGATGAAACCTGCAGTTATTTGTTTTTGAACTTCTTCTTTTATTTTAAGAGCTACATAGGGTTTCATTCGAAGCAACTTTTGTTTTACAGGTTTCATTCCTGGAATTAGTGGTATAGTGTGTTGAGCTATTTCTCTATTAATGCCTGTCATATCTTCGTATGACCAAGCAAATACATCGATAAATTCTTTAAGTAAGTTAATTAAATTAGTTCTTTCTTGTTTATTCAGTGTTAATCCGATTTTAACTTCTCTTTTATGGGTTGAATTATTTGAGATATCAACCGTTTCAGTTTCTTTAATTACCGGTGTTTTCTTTTCGAGTGTTTCCATTGCTTTAATAATTTCTTTGTCTTTTTCATTGTTAGTTAAGCAATGCTCGTCATCTTGTGTTAGAGAAGAACACGAGAAGTAAGGAGAAGGAGAAATATTATTATACTCTGAGATCATTACATCAAAGAGTGATATGTCCTCAGGGACTTGATCACTAACTATCACTAGTGGAAAAAAGGCCATCCGTAACGGGCAAAAAGGGCCCATCCGTAACGGGCAGCGTCCGTTACGGATGGCCATTGTTATTCGTAACGGCCACTGTCCGTTACAAATAAGGGGTTATTCGTAACTAACATTTCAAATGTCCGTTACGAATAATGGGTTATTCGTAACGGACATTTGAAATGTTAGTTACGATTAAATCCTTTTTTGAATTAAAATAAGTCCTTATTCGTAACGGGCACCTCAAACGCCCGTTACGAATAAGTGATTATTCGTAACTGTCATTTTAAATGTCCGTTACGAATAAAGTTTTATAGTATATAGTTAAACACTTAAATTAATTAAAACCTATTATAATAAACCTATTCCTGTAAATACACAATTATACCGAATAATCTTTCGTAAAAATTAATACGACGTAATATAAAAATTGAAGTAGTAACACATTACAAATAAAAACTTGTATAAATTTATCCAACATATACAACATACAACACTAAAAATATTACTTTGTTCTACCTAAGCTAATAGTTATGCATTCAATAAATATTTACTTCTAAAGTATTGCGCCCATGGTTCTCGAACCACATTCAACTTGTCAACATCACCAGGGCTGCCCTTGGAAAAAAATCCTATTGAAAAAAAAAAACATATGAATGAGGATACAAAATAAAAACAATCCATAAAAAAAAACAATCATTAGAATAAATGTGATGGTCCAAATTATAGAAATAAAACTCAAAATATAGAAATAAAAAACATAACATCCTTAATTAACTTATATTTTGATTTCTATGATTTGAAATCAATGAAACAAGAGCATTTACTCACTTTTAGAGCGTACAGAACCAAAAAGGTTTCAAAATTGCACTAAGGGACTTCTATCTTTCCCATCTTTCATTATTGGTCCAAATTAACACAATAAAACACATAAAATCCTTAATTAACTTATTTTTTTATTTCTATGAATTGAAATCAATGAAAAGTGAACATTTCCTCACTTTTGGGAGCGTATAGAGCCAAAAAGGCTTCAAAATTGCCTAAGGGACTACTATCTTTCCCATCTTTCATGTATTGGTTCAAATTGACACAATATAACACATAAAATCCTTCATTAACTTATATTTTGGTTTCTAAGAGTTGAAATCAATGAAAAGTGACCATTTACTCACTTTTGGGAGCGTATAGAGCCAAAAAGGCTTCAAAATTGCCTAAGGGACTTCTATCTTTTCCATCTTTCTTGTATTGGTTCAAATTAACACAATATAACACATAACATCCTTAATTTACTTATATTTTGGTCTATGAGTTGAAATCAATGAAAAGTGATCATTTACTCACTTTTGGGAGCGTACAGAGCCAAAAAGGCTTCAAAATTGCCTAAGGGACTTCTATCTTTTCTATATTTCATGTATTGGTTCAAATTGGCACAATATAACACATAACATCCTTAATTACCTTATATTTTGGTTTTTATGAATTGAAATCAATGAAAATTTACCATTATCTCACTTTTGGGAGCGTATAGAGCCAAAAAGGCTTCAAAATTGCCTAAGGGACTTCTATCTTTCCCATCTTTCATGTATTGGTTCAAATTGACACAATATAACACATAACATCCTTAATTACCTTATATATTGGTTTTTATGAATTGAAATCAATGAAAAGTGACCATTTACTCACTTTTTGGAGCGTATAGAGCCAAAAAGGCTTCAAAATTGTCTAAGGGACTTCTATTATTCCCATCTTTCATGTATTGGTTCAAATTGACACAATATAACACATAAAATCCTTCATTAACTTATATTTTGGTTTTTATGAGTTGAAATCAATGAAAAGTGACCATTTACTCACTTTTGGGAGCGTATAGAGCCAAAAAGGCTTCAAAATTGCCTAAGGGACTTCTATCTTTCCCATCTTTCATGTATTGGTTCAAATTGACACAATATAACACATAAAATCCTTAATTAACTTATATTTTGGTCTATGAGTTGAAATCAATGAAAAGTGATCATTTACTCACTTTTGGGAGCGTATAGAGCCAAAAAGGCTTTAAAATTGCCTAAGTGACTTCTATTTTTCCCATATTTCATGTATTGATTCAAATTGGCACAATATAACACATAACATCCTTAATTACCTTATATTTGGGTTTTTATGAGTTGAAATCAATGAAAAGTGATCATTTACTCACTTTTGGGAGCGTATAGAGCCAAAAAGGCTTCAAAATTGCCTAAGGGACTTCTATCTTTCCCATATTTCATGTATTGGTTCAAATTGGCACAATATAACACATAACATCCTTAATTACCTTATATTTTGGTTTTTATGAATTGAAATCAATAAAAAAATTTACCATTATCTCACTTTTGGGAGCGTATAGAGCAAAAAAGGCTTCAAAATTGCCTAAGGGACTTCTATCTTTCCCATCTTTCATGCATTGGTTCAAATTGACAAAATATAACACATAACATCCTTAATTAACTTATATTTTGGTCTATGAGTTGAAATCAATGAAAAGTGATCATTTACTCACTTTTGGGAGCGTATAGAGCCAAAAAGGCTTCAAAATTGCCTAAGGGACTTCTATCTTTCCCATATTTCATGTATTGGTTCAAATTGGCACAATATAACACATAACATCCTTAATTACCTTATATTTTGGTTTTTATGAATTGAAATCAATAAAAAAATTTACCATTATCTCACTTTTGGGAGCGTATAGAGCAAAAAAGGCTTCAAAATTGCCTAAGGGACTTCTATCTTTCCCATCTTTCATGCATTGGTTCAAATTGACACAATATAACACATAACATCCTTAATTAACTTATATTTTGGTCTATGAGTTGAAATCAATGAAAAGTGACCATTTACTCATTTTTGGGAGCATATAGAGCCAAAAAGGCTTCAAAATTGCCTAAAGGACTTCTATCTTTCCTATATTTCATGTATTGGTTCAAATTGGCACAATATAACACATAACATCCTTAATTAACTTATATTTTGGTTTCTATGAATTAAAATCAATGAAAATTGACCATTATCTCACTTTTGGGAGCGTATAGAGCTAAAAAGGCTTCAAAATTTGCAAAAAAAACTACTAACCTCCTATAAGACACCTTTGCACTCCAAGTGAGAAGTAACAATCTCATTACATGTATCTCATAATGTAGTAGCCACATTCAACGCCTCCTTGTTGTTGAGCGCACTAGTATATATAACAAATAGTTAAAAATTTTGTTTTCAAAGTGAACAATGTATAACAATATGGGGTGAGTAGTGTATTTACCTTCATTTGTATGAATTTCAATTTTTGCCTATGTGATTTCAATTCACTCCCTGTGAGATTCGCCTGATATAATTTATAAGCCCTACAAAAATAATATATATTCTAACACTTTGAACAAAATAATCTACAACATTCTTTTGCAAGTTTTCCAATTATTCCCAAAAAAAAAACATGTATAAGATATGGCAGAACAAGAACCTGAATAGAAAAAAAATGATATGCATAAATAGAGAGACTTGTAGCCTACAGCATAAAAAGCATAGAACTGATCATAAATGATCAGCATATAAAGCAATATGCATAGAACTATAGAAGTAATCAGAACTGATCAGCATAGAACAATGATGGCAGTGAACATGATAACAAGCGGGGACTCGAGCAATAAACAGAAAAGGCCTGAAATGAACTGATCAGAATTGATCGGAACTGAAATTTCAGAACTGATCGGAAATGAAATTTCAAAACTGATCAGAAATGAAATTTCAGAACTGATCGGAACTGATCAGAACTGAAATTTCAGAACTGATCGGAACTGATCAGTACTGATCGGAACTGATCAGAACTGAAATTTCAGAACTGATTGAAACTGAAATTTCAGAACTGATCGGAACTGATCAGAAGTCTCTTTGCCATAGCAATGCCAAGGCGAGCTGCCATTGCTTCCGCCAATTTCACCGAATCAGAGGCTACACATTTATTCACAGCAGCAACAACTATCTTACCCTCCTCATTCCTGATAATCGCTCCTAAACCCACCTTAGCCACATCAAACAAAGCGTACTACCCCAGGGCAAGGCTTCTGCCAGGTGCTATGAGACGCTACACCACATCCCCTGCTCACCCCACCAACAACCCCCTTATACTTCCCATAATCTTCCACCAATTTCACAAAACCCATTACCCCTACCACGCTGCTACTCCATGGATTATCAAACACCATAGAATTTCTGTAGGCCCACGCACCCCAAGCAACAGCCATGAAAGTAAGAAAGTCTTTATTACTCACCCATTACCCCCTCTAAGGTTTTATTCCTGAAATAATTATTTTACCATTCAATATTATTATAATTACAGTATTATTTATAACACTCTTTTATAATTACAATATCGTGTTACCCCTCGCATTTCCATCTAGTAAAATGCAAAGTTATACTACAGATATCTACTATGGAGTATATTAATCTACCTTAATTATTCAATCTTGCTATATAGTTGTGCTTTAATTATGAATTTATTTATGAAAAATCAAATTGACTTTTCAGCAAGAAATAAATTAGAATCTTAATTCGAATCCATCTAAAACATTATGAATATAAGATTTATTTCCACCCAATGGAAAAAATCAAATTAAACATGTAAAATCAATCAATTAATTCGGAATTTTTTTTTTAAAAAAACCCTATAATTAAGTAATTGCAATTAAACAAATTGAAACAAGGGTTAAGAAATTGGGGGAGGAGATAGAAATATAGCATCAAATTGAGCTTACAGGAAGCTATTGATGGGAGTTTCTTGAGCAGGAAGGGAGAGCTTGAGCAGCTTCAATGGACAGAGCGCTGCTGCGTGAGAGGGAGTAGAGAGCGCAGCTGAGTCGCGACGAGAGAGTGCACCGGAGTTTGGAGAGGATCAAGCTGAGGAACGACCTGAGTTGAGGGAGCTGAGGACCACCGGGTTTTGGAGAGGACGAGCTCAGGATCGGCCGGAGTTCGGGGAGCTGAGGTCCGAACTGAGCTTCAATATTATTGGAGAGAGAAAGGGGAAATATTTTGATGAGAGAGAGTGACGAGAAAGGGGAAATTAAAAAGTTAGGGTTTACATTGAAAATCTATTCGTAACGGACATTCCTTGTTAGTTACGACTAGTGGGTTATTTGTATCGGGCAAGACTTGTTGGTTACAACTAGTTGGTTATTTGTAACGGGCAAGACTTGTTGGTTACGAATAAGTTATTATTTGTAATGGGCAGAATTCTGCCCGTTACAAATAATGGGCAGAATTCTGCCCGTTACAAATAATAACTTATTCGTAACGGGCACTAATCTGCCCGTTACAAATATATCTTTTTCTGCTCAAGTCACAGCTTATTTGTAACGGACATTGATTTTGCCCGTTACAAATGATGTAATTGTAACGGGAAATCATATGCCCGTTACAAATAGCTTGTTACAAATAAGCTTTTTTCCACTAGTGTATTCTAGGAGAAGAAATAGGAGGGGGAGGTGCTACTACTAAAGATTTAGAAGACTCTAGGGGGAAAGACTCTGACTCAGACTCAGACTCAGACGACTCTTCAAACATCGGCCCTTGCCCTGTCGTGATGGATATCTTCCTTCCACTTGGAGTAGTCACTTTGATAGTCTTGCGCCACCCTTGTAGCGATCCTTCAGCTGGAGAGATTAGCATCGAGGGATCGTAGCTTTTGCTTTGTAGGACTGTTTGAATGAGCGAGGAGTTATCTTCTTTGTAAGTTGGCTCATTCTTTTCTCGCCCAAACAGTAATCCCATGACGTTAAAGTCAAAGAATGGGGGTGATTTCTCCTTATGGATATGAGTTGGGATTTCATCTGTGAAATAACAATCCAAGAAAATCTCAAATCCCGGTTGTCTTATGCCGTTTACAACAAATGGCTCGGGAAATTCATGGCATGGATAGTCCTCTCCTTCTTTTATAAATTGACCATTAAGTGTAAGAGGGTACTGATCCATTGGGATTGCTTTCTTTTGAGTGCGAGCGTCTCTACGTGCCTTTGATTTTTCCAAAGCTCGCTTGAAATCTTTCTGAGTTGGTTCGAAACCAAGTCCGAAAATGTCTAACTTAGGGAGGCCAGGTGACTCTAGCGATTTTGCCATTCCTTTCTTCTTTCCTAGGGTCATCCCAGGAAAATGTCCTTGTTTCTTCAGCATAGCATTTACAACCATGTTGGAATGGGGGTCATGGGAAAGAGGGGTCCTTCCATCCTCCTGGATTAAGGAGACTTCTTTGTTAAAGCCCCATAAATCTTCATCATCCTCGTCGTGCTCCACATTAATGATTGGATTCTCTATAGACTTAATCCTTATAGGCGATGCATCGATGGTGATAGGAATTCCCCCAACTATAGCTTTTACTTGTTGGTGGAGAGATGAGGGGACGACCTTTAGGTCATGAAGCCAAGGGCGTTCCAACATCAAATTGAACGAAGATTTAATGTCTACTACTTGGAAAGTAATAGCATGTTCTATTTATCCCGCCGTTACATTCAGGGTAATTTTTCCAAGAGCTTGATGACGAGTGTTGTCATAGGCCCTTATTCCTTGTGTAGACGGAGTTAAATCTTCGTCCCTTATGCCTAGCATCCTCGCAGTTCTAAGTGGACAGACATTGATGGCCGATCCATTGTCTACAAGAGTCATAGGAACATTCATCCTCTTGCAAACTACTGTGAGGTTTAATGCCTTGTAATGTTTGTCACCTTCTGGGGGTAAATCCTTGTCAGAAAAGGTGACTAAATTAATTGGACTAGGAAGATCACTTGTGAGGAAGTTGGCTAATCCCTCAGGAGTAGTGTTAGAATCTATCCCAATTTTGTCCAAGGCATTCATTACAACCAACCTATGTTCTCGAGATGTTGCCAAAAGTTTCCATACGTTCATCTCAACTTTTGTCTTCTTAAACTTCTTAACAATATCATTATCTTCAATGATAGGTTTGGGAACTTGTTGTGTGGTTGACATAGGTTGTGTTGAAACGGGAGGTTGCATTCTCCCGGATCTTGTGAGGACGTCTATCGATGAGTCTTCTTCAGCCCAAACGTCATCCGTGGCGTACGACACAGAAGGTGGAGATCCTATTATGTCTTTTAGATAGACATCTTCTTCATCACTGTCCCAAACTCCATTGATGGTTGCATCATCTTCTTGTTGCACTTGGACTAGTTTCTTTTCATCAATCATTTTCTGAACCAAATCCTTGAATTTAAAACAGTTTACTATAGTGTGACCCCCTGATTTATGATACTGACAGAATTATCTATCCGTCCTTTTCAATGATTCGAATGGTCTCGGTTCGAGAGGTTTGATCTCGCCACTCTCGGAGAGCATTTCGAACATTTGTGCATATGGGATCCCAATTGGAGTGTAGATTCTATTACTCTTCTTGGGTTTTCAGTGACTTGTAAAGGAAAATGCTTTTAGGTTCATCTTTCGGAAGTGGAACCTCGTCACATTTCTTTTGGGGTTCCTTTATAGCTTTGAGAGCTTCACGTAACAAATGTGATACTTCCATCATAGATAGCGTGAGCAATTGTATATCTTCTTTACTTGCCGGTTCTGGAAGGTTGTCTTTGACATCAAAAAAGGTTTCCTCCTCTTTTTCTGTGGCATAGATTTCTTTGACTGGTCTAATGAGAGACGAGGGGTCAACCTCGTTTTCCTAATCAGAGATAGCCAGGGCATGAGCGAGAGGTGCATTATCAATGCTTGGCTTCTTACTGGCAGGGGGCAACGACAGCTTGTTGTTGTCGATTAAGTCTTGGATAGCTTCCTTAAGCTTCCAACAGTTTTCGGTGAGATGGCCCCTACCTTGGTGATACTTACAGTGTGCATTGGGGTTCCAATTAGCCGACCTCTTTTCGTCTGGTGGGTCCCCAAACGGTCCAATAGGAGTTATAAGACCTTTTGCATTTAATCGATCAAATGCGGTGTCATAACCTCATGCCAATAGGAGTAAAGTTCCTCCTAAATGGTTTCTTTTGTCCTTGATTATTCATAGCAAGGACTTCACCTAAATTAAAAGTGCTAACATTGTTTGAGTGGGTGGTTTTGGAAGAAGAAGGATTGTCGTTCTTCTTTCCTTTCCAGCCACTATTAGAGTTATTGTTGGCAGCTTTTAACTTAGCCAGGTCGTCTTCAATATTGATCCCAATGTCATAGACAGCCTTGAAGGTATGGAGATTATTTTGATACTTGAGATGCTTGGAATATTTTTCTTGAAGATTTTTGATGAACAATCTTACAGACTCTTTTTCACTTAGCACCTCGATCATCTTAGCTGAGGTTTCCCTCCATTTGTTAAAGAAAGAGGTGAAGCCTTCGTTCTCTTTCTGTTTGAGGATCTCAAGTTACCTATGGTCAGTCTCAACCTGAATGTTGCACTTGTACCTATCAACGAAAGCGTTTGCTATGGACTCCCAGGTAGAGGTCTTTTCTTTCTCAAGAGAAAAGAACCATTGTTGGCAAACGGTCTCGAGAGATAGTGAGAACAGAGAGGGGAAAACTTTCTTATCGATACCCTTAATACTCATTATTGTTTCGAATGCTCTTAAATGAAAATAAGGGTTATCAGTTGCTCTGAATTTTGGGATGTCATTGGCATTGAACTTATGCGGAAGAAGATCTTTGTCCACCGAGACCCCTTGTGATGTAAGTCCTTGAAACTTATAGTCACTAGACATCTTGCATAGACTCTCTTGCATGAGGTCCATATGTTTTTGCTTCACGGGATCATCGATCTTGAGTGCTAGGAGCTTCAGTGTCTCAGTCACGGTAACTAGTTGGTTCCTAAGCTCATTGACTTCTTCTTATGTTGCCATTATATTCTTAGCTTTCCTCTTGCGAGCTATGGGTTTGTCAAAAAGTTGGACTTGTACAAAGAGGTTGTCTTTGATTAACCGTCCTTCCTTTCTTGACCACGCGCTGAAATTTAAACCATTGTACATTTTAATTACTTGACTCGAATCAACTTGACTTTACGGTTTATTTTAAGGAGGAAAAAATAAAAAAATGGGTGCATATTTTTGGCAAAAATAATCATTCATATTTTTAGGGAACTAAGTATAGTTTTTTAAATTGGAGGATTAATATCTGACTTACCCCCCTAAAAAAATGACGGAAAAAAACGCGCACGCAAGACTCTCTTAGACATGGTCAAAGTGTGTGTATTGGTGTGTGCGTTGAGTGTAAGTGACATGCTTGGACTCTTGTGTAAAACCATAGGACTTAGTGCATAAACTCGATTAACGACTCAAACAAGTACTATTGACAGCGAAACTTAACCGAATTAATTAGCAAACTGATTAATTAGACATCAGGTGATGACTCGACCAATAATCTGAACTATCGGCCAAACGACAGAACTGGCGTCACACTGTGCAGCTTGGCGCCAGACGACAGAGCTGTTGCCAGGCGCCACACTTCATAGTGTGGCGCTACAGCTCAGACTTTGGCCCCAATATTGGAGCTTCAATCTGGGACTGTTTTCGGTGTTATTAATCAACTGGGGTATGCCTAAAGTCGTACTAGGTCAACTCCGATTAAAATATTAGACTTTATTAACTCAAATTAATTAATTAATTAATTAATTAGGCAAAGTTCTTTAAGTCATTAATTTATTTAATCTCAACACAAGTTAAACAAACGGTTAAGAGAAACATAGAATATATGCACAACAAATAATGCACAATCAGTCAAGTAGGCACAATATGATGCAATGAGTTTGCAACCTAACCACAACTCTAGTTCTCTAAAGTTCGGGATATGGGTTTAGGCAATAGAGGGTCCATGGTTAATTGTCCGGATGCACCGCGCGGAAGCCTAACGGTGAAGGGTTGGCGCGAGTGGATGGGACACCGCGAGTTTAGAAAAACTCGCTTCCATGGTTTGGTGAATTCAACATCTTGGATGTACCCTTTGGTGCACAGAGCGTTCAATCAGGTACATGGAGCATGAATTCCCAGAGGGTTATGTCCATATGTAGCACACATATGGGTTTCAGAAAAGTGAGAAAAAATTCAATCAGGAAGTAGGATCGAGCAAACAATACGAAAAACCGGTCGAAATTAGAACGCATATTTCTGGCTCGGTATTGGGTGA